CTGAAACCTGATTCAACAATTATGGATGAATTAAGTCAATCTGAAATCGAAAACAATGAACTTTAGCTCCACCACACATCTTCTTTTCCTTGCACACTCAAGACTTGTCAATATGAATGAATATTTACCTGAGTTAGCATGTTAAAATGATCACCTGTCATCTGGGTTGTGTACACTCGCCTGAAAAAGTTGTCAGTCAAACCCGTCAAACAGGCCTCTTTCTGGCATTGAAAATTCCCACTGGGAACCATAAGGCACCGCCAACATACACATACTTGAACACATTATCCCTCGATTTCATAGTCATAATTCATCCAAGACTTTAGATGACTGTGTGGCTGTGAGTGGCATCATGCCCATGTTACTGTGTATAGGTTAGGGTTAGTGTTATATGAATGTGTGTCTCTGACTGACTCTTGGATTTATCAGTTTTAAAAGAAGCACTGCTGTGTAACACACACACACACACACACACACACACACACACACACACACACACACACACACACACACACACACACACACACACACACACATAGTTTCCCAGAAACTTTGCTGTTAGTGTAGCTACACTACACAACACCAAGTAGATGAATGTAGATGTTTATAGGAAGGTCAGTAAATCATAGATAGCCCTTTCCAGTGCTTTACTGTGCATTCACAGTGGGCAACCTGATCAATAAAATCACCAGAGGTCCATTCATGGCCTACAGTGCTGAGCAAATAGAAACACTCAGGGTTTCATTGTCATTGGTTTTCACAACTACAGGTCTAACTGGCAACTTCGGCCATAATTTAAACTTTCCAAGTTCTCTATAACTTGTGACGTTTTTAAAGGTGGGTCGACAACATTTCCCATTTCCTGACAAATATAAACCAACTGGATTATCTAAAAAACACACTGTCACAAAATTGAAAACAGGCCAGTTTCAGTAGATATATACACATACATACACACACACATGCGCATATAATGTATATAATAAAAAAAGTAGTTAAGGTACAATTTCTAAAGGAAAGTCAGAAAAACTTTACATTAGGCTCGCTGACCTATATTCATATAGGTCCATGTCTTTTGTTGTATTATGCTTTATAGGTTATGAAACAAGCCCAAACCAAAATTGTTTATACCTGCTGTAATTTGAACAGAATACACACTTTTTGAAAGTTACAAAAATTGTTGAATGCAGTCACTGTATTGTTAAAAAGATGTGGAGTCGGGGGGGGGGGGGGTTCAGATACTGTTTGTCTGCACTCCAGTGAAGCATACTGATGCTTTAAGACTTTCTGAGGTCACCAGGAGCGCCTGACTGCATCTTTAGACAACCATTTAGTAAAGAACAACACATCAACAATATCACTTCACTATCAGTTGGGGTCAGCATGCTAATAATTGGGAGGAGGTAGTTTTGCTGGGCAAGTGTCACTGTGCAACAATCTATGTCTTGTGACAGTTACAGTTGCTGATGCAGTTAATTTTGAAGTAGCACCATGTCTGGAAGTGTAACAAGCAAGTAGCCTATATCTCTATGTCAGTGTAGGGCTGGGTGATGTGACATGACAAATCAATATTTACAATAATTATTTCTAACTTTTATCTTGATTAGAATAAATGAACTTTGGCGCTTATCGGTCACTCTCTTTTTTTTGAGCCATGAACACTTCATATTCGACAATGTGATTGTGTTCCAAGTGATTAAACAACCTTTTGTTGCTGACATAGTTTTTCTGCAGTGTTTGCATTTGATCCTTTTTGTTCGGTGTCGTCTTCACTGAAGCCAAAACGAAGGACACGTCCTCTTTTTAGCTAGAAGCTGCTCGGTTTGAGGCCCAGTGTTTGCGCTGGTGTCGTCCATATCAGCAGCTTCACTTTGAGTGAACGAGGACTAACGTTAGTTGGATTTGGTGGAGGCACGTGACTGAACAGGAGGTAGTATTTTCCAGGAGGGGACAGTTCATGAACGCAGCATTGGGGAAAGTCTGAAGTGAATTAACTGTCATGAGCGAGATGAAGTCGTGAGAGGTTTTTTGTTTAATCGCCCAGCTCTACAGTGTAGTAACGAACATGTATCGCTCTTTAGATCATTAGGTTGAAAAGGAAGTCTCTGAAAAGGAGTTGGAAGCTGCTAATGTGGGGGAGGGGTGGGGAGGTAGGAGGCACAAAGAATGGAAAGGAAAGCAATGTTGATGATGATTCTTTCTCGAAAGATCATACTGATGGGGTTTACATATTCCTCTGTCCTCTTTTCTCATTTAGCTTCATGAAAGGGTAGTAGGCTACAACGCCCTCATATCCACAGACACACCTCATTGTGCTCCTGGGGCCACCTCTGTCTGGTCTGAAGACCTATGACCCTTGGCCTTTGACCCCTCCTAGAAGCAAAAACCTTTCCCTCCCCTTTGGTTCTGTTCTCCACCTCCTCCTCCTCCTCAAGGACCACACTCCTTTTCATTCTCTTGGCTTCTTTTCTTTCTCCTCCTTCTTTCTCTCCGGCCCTTTTGTCCTGCTGGAGGCCGGAGCTGAGCGTGGATTTAATGCCTTCACAGCTGAGGGAACCTCAACAGCTCCAGCTTTTACGTTCACGACTTCAGACATTCTCAAGCTTCACTGACAACGTGTTTCCATCTTGGATGCATATCAACAAGGAGTCACGGATGAGGGTCCCAGTGCAGTGTTTCCTCGTTTCAGTGGTGCAAATTTATTTTGAATGAAGCACAATAATTATGTTACCCACCTCAAATTCTATTCAACAATTTGTTTTTCAGGTATATGTGCAATTAACGGCAAATACGCCTGATACTAATGACATTGTGTTAAGCACTGAATGATAATACAACGGCATGTCACAGCGCTTGGAAACAAAAGGTGCAGAATCATAATTTGAAGGGTTTATTTGGCATTCAGCTCAGGGTGACGGAGGATGGGCGAGCTAACAATGCAGCCCACCTCCACGTAGGTAGAAGTCAGAGATATTTAAAATGAAATGAGAGAACAGAAGAGTGAACGAGCGTGTAAGCAAATGTGAAGCGTGTTGTTTTGTTGTCCGTCCACTCGCCCATCCATCGTCTTTCCCCACCCATTCCTAACCTGTTGCCATGGTTTCAGCCAATGGGGGTAGTCAGTGGGTTGGCAGGCGGCGACGACAGGGGTCGAACAAGTTCGCTGATGTTGGCTGGATGGGGGTTGGGATGTGTATGTGGGGGTGATGGTTAGGAATGGCGTTTGAGAGGATAATGGGGGGTTGATGTGTTGATAAGGTAGAACTGCATGTGTGGGGTCACGGGGGCCTTTTGGCGTGTATGGTGGGAGGTGTGCATGTGGAGGTGTGGGGAAGGGGCCTGTTTTTTATGTGTGTTTGGCAGGTTTGGGGGTGGAGTTAGTGATACAGCTCAGCATTGATTGAGGATCAAAGGGATTTTCCATTTTTTTTTTTTTTTTTTGGATGGGGGGGTGTCAGGTATTCTGGATGCACAAAAGACTATTCATCTGTGCTGGAGCCTCCTGGGGGTTTGGGTGGGGTTTAGTTGGGGAGCTGGAGATGGGGGTTGGTTGTTGTTGGTTTGGGTTTAGGGCCATTGATACACATTTGGGCGGGTTGGTATAGTAGAGATAGTAAAGGATAGTAAAGGGTGGTAAAGATGGGACACTGCACTGTTTCACATTATTATTTAGAGTCATTTCCAATGAGTCCCCATAGCACAACTCTTCAATATAAGCAGCTTCAGTAAGGAGGTCAAAGGTCAAAGGTTCAGCACTAATACGACAGATGCAAGAACAGTCCTATGCAGGGATGGGTTTCCTTTAGTTGCAACTAAAGCTCATGTCAGAAGCAAAAGGAAAATTGTTATGGTTTCCTGTTTATGCTCCATTTTCAGTAAGGCAATTTAGAGAACAAGCTATTTAAATCCATGCTATTAAATGCATATGTAATCTTTTTTATGTGCGAAGATTCATAATAAATAATTATTTCCAATCAGTTTCTTCAGCATTTACTTTCTCAGAGTCAATAATGAAACCATGACTGATACGATACTCAAGTGTGAGAGTTCTCCAGCGATCACTCCGATCAAAACCCAAGGTCACCATAAAAGAGCTCTTTGTGTTCCTAATGTATTGAAGGCTGGCGGGGAAGGAGGGTCGTTACTGAGGATGTTTATCTGCAACAGTAAAGCAGTTTCTACCACTTGGGTTACCAGCCCTGTTAAGACAGAGATGCTCATACGTTACTTAACTTTTAATCAAGCAAACACACACACTTAACCATGTTTGATACATCGTCTGTTTTCAGTACAGTGTAGTGCTGTGGATGAGCGATGTGTTCAGGGACGTAGCTGCAGACTGTGTGAATGGTGACGGACTGGTAAAAACTAAAACTACTATGTTTCGAGCGCCTAAAACCGACACTTTTGGAAACGCTGACTGCCGCTCCCTATTGGTTCTTATCAGCCTCGATACCAGTGAAAGCAACATGAATAATGAATTACTAGCTTTACTGTCATTGTTGTCTTTGCTAACAGCTGTTGAAGTTAAATTCTGCATTTTAACACTGAAACTTCCTTTTCTGCAGTATTTTTCGCAACTAAATAACTGTAGAGATCTGCTTCCTGTTTACACCAGCTAGCTCGCACATGCCCAGTGTAGGTGAAGAGACGTGTATGTGTGTGTTTTCAGGTGTGTTAGTCTGGACAGAGATTGTTTCTGATATGGAGCTAAAACGGCCATCTGGACAGAGATCCTTATACCTGTGCTCTTTGTGCAGCACTGGTGTGTATGTGGTATGACGCTGTGTGATGTAGTGGTGATACACCAGTTTGATTTACTTGTTTTCCTCTTTCCACCTGTTTATCTCTCAAGTAAGTTCTGGTTTCTTTCACTTCGTTTCACTCTCTCATCCCCAAACCCTCAGTCTGGACAGTGTTGCACCTGTCATCAGTGTTTATTGTGTTTCAATATTCATTTTTTTAAACTTGCTAACATCTCGTTTGTTTTCTCTCTTCAGGACCAGGAAACTGCAGATCAGAAACATCCCACCTCACCTACAGTGGGAGGTGAGTTCACCCTCATCATTTCTCTTGTTTGGTTCATTTACACAGTGTATCACTGTGACTTCACTCTGCTCACTACACACACCCCATTACCACCACACACACAACATCTTCTCTTGACATTCAGTGAAATCAGTTGTTCTGCTGTATGGATACAGCCTCTTTAAATGAACAAGCCCTCACACTGGCATCTGTAACTAACAACTTGACATGGACGTTTTAACTTCTCTTCTGAGCTGGCAGCAGTGTGTGGCATGGCAGGTTTCCACTGAGGAAACTAAAAGTTAGTTTCTTTGTGTAAGAATTTCTTTAACCAGTCAGCTAGCCAATATGCCTTTCCTTTTTTCTCTTAATTAGAAATGTGACACAGTTCTTTCCCCTAAATATGATTGCTGACTGAATGTCCCATTCACCCCTGTGGTGACTGCAAACAATGTACAATGCTCAGTTTTATTTACATTTGAAACAGGGTGTGTCCATCTAATAACAAATACAGGAGGATATTTTTTTCACCATTTTTCTGCCTCTGTAAATTATCACTTGGACTAATCTTGACTTTTTGATTGTAAACTCCAAAGAAGAGACAAACTTCATGACCCTGTTCATAAGGTTTCAAGAACAGCAGCCAGGAACAGTGAGCAGCTTTGGGTCATTTTCAAACTTGTGCTTACAAAGTTCTGGCACAATCAAGGTCCATATTTTACACTCTGGTGTTTTCTTTGAAGTGTTGATCCATTAGAAGATATATTTGTGGTTTTAAGAACCAAAAACCATATCAGTGTAGTTTTACATCTCCTCTCTCAGGCTTCTCTCTGGAGCTCTAGTTTTCTTCTCTCGCTGTTTTCTTAGTGACCCAGTAAAAATATAGCAGATTTAAGGAAAACACTCAGAGAAACAAAATCCTGCAATGTTGGATGGTGAGTCCAGTTGGGCGGGGCTTGGTGCATGACTGAGAGGGGTGAGTGCTTTGTTGTGACATCACAAAGTTACAGAAGTCCTGACGGCTGCTTTATAATCAAACAACACACGGACATCTGCCTTTACACTATATTGACCCTTAAGGTAAACAGTCATATTAGAATTCACAAACTTGTGGAAATGTAAGTTTTTATCTGGTGTTGCTGCAGTTTTCACAAAGTGATAGGTTTTCTATTGAAGTGAACCATCCTGAGCAGTTTCAATCTGTAGCTCTTAAAGAGAGTCTTAAAATACAGAGCAAATGAGTCGAGCTTTGTGCCAGCAATGAGCTCCACACATCAGAAGTCTAAGTCATGTCTTTGCACTGAAATGTTCTGCCAGTATAAACCTTATCAGGTCCAACCTGCAGCACAAAGCAGGAGTTATAACAGCACCAGTATCAGAGCGACAGCCAAAAATTTGAATTGTACATGAGTGCAAAGAAGTGATAACCATGCCACAACAGCAGTGGACAGTATTTCTTTGGTTGTAGATGAAGAGGCAATATGCACAACATCATCCTGATGCTCTGGACTGGCTCTGATAGATTTAATAGCTGCCTCCTCCCCACTTTCAGACAGCGAGCACAGGCTGCTGCTAACCGCTGTCTGACTCGTAAGAAGAAGAAGAAGAAGAAGAAGAATCCTTTATTATCAAAGTATGTTCTTACACACACAGGAAATTAGAGCTCAGCATTTAACCCATTAGTAAGTGGTGAACAAGCAGCTCCAGGGAGCAGTAGGGGGGTTAGGTGCCTTGCTCAAGGGTGCTTCAGCTGTGCATGCTGAGGGAGGGGAAACAGACAGCAGCTCTGTATACATTATTTATTATTATGCAGAAAGTGAAAGAAGAGGTGCAATAAAGGTAAACTATAGATGTAATGTACATTTTTATTTGCCTGCATGAAACCAAACAATGCATCAGTTCAAAAGCCTTACACTCCACCACCAGCTTCATCACAGCCGCTGAAAGATGTGCTGTGACTCCGGTTTGCATGCGAGAGTTAACGACATCAGGACACTGACAACATAAACCATGTTTAAAGACTGGACTGTTGCATCTGAAATCAAATAGATGGACTCAGCCTGCGGGGCGGGGGTGGGGGGTGTGGGGGTGGGGGGGGTTGCATTAAACAATTCAATTGCATTCAAGTAACTTTTAAAATGGTTTCTTTAACTTTTCGTTCTCCTCTTTTTGTCGCTCCCTGACTCATGCAGTAGTGACTTTTCTCTTACCCCTCACCACAGCTTTAGAGGAAGGAAACTGTTCTCCACCCAGAAAATGGGGTTCGAACTCTGTTACGTGACACAATGAGCTGCATCAAAGACGTGTCTTTTATAGTTCTCTCCACAGTTTTAGACTGACTCTTTCCCTCTTCAGTTTAGTTTACCATGCATCATAGTTACTATTATCACACAGAAGCTCGGTCATTTTTCTGGCACAACTTACAAGGTGCACGGAGAAAAGAAAAGTTTCAAGGGATCGAAACTCCAGTAACACTTGAAGTAATCAGAAGAACTTTTCTAGGGTCGTCATCGCAAAACACATCACAAGTAACATTTAACATATATAACAACCAATCATATGTGAACGCGTACATATCATTCTTCAGAGACGGGCTGGGCCTGCGGTCATGTGGCTCCGGGCCAATCGATGTCTCAGGCTGGTGGGGAATGTCCAGTAGAGGACACTATGTTTAGCTCATGGACTGCAGAAGTGATTAAGCCAAAGAGGTGGCACCAGAAGTGCATCTAAAGGGTTGCACTTAAGTTTGTACAGAAGGGTACTTACTCCAAAATGTGTCCATTTGATGTGTCAGAGGCCAACCCACCCCAAAACACTTGGATTTAAATAAAGTGCTGTTTATTTGAAAGGAAACAAGATGCAACATAAAAACTAGTCATCATAAAAATTCATAAATAAACACAAATACACCTAAACCACTGCAAATCCAAATAATTGAGATATACTATATTACTATAAAAACTATAAACACTATAAAAACGTGTTAATTGAATAAAGTCCTCATTCATGCCCCCTTGAAATAAACTTCTTCCTCACAGAGTCAACATTACCACCTCTTTGGCTCAATCACTTCTTCAGGCAAGGAGCTAAACATGGGGGCACCCATGTCCTCTATTGGATGTTCCCCACCAGCCTGAGACAACGATTGGCTTGAAACCACATGACCACAGGCCCAACCCCCTTTGAAGAAGCCCCATAGGCAGATATGTATGTGTTCACATATGATTGGCTGCTTTGATATTTTTCAGTCTCATACTTACCTTATTTAAATGTTACAATATATATATATGTATGTGTGTGTATATATATATATATATATATATATATATATGTATATATATGAAACAATACATACATATGAAACAAACTAAAACTATACTATAATATAAAGAATATTATAGAATAATTGTTTTTCCACAGGGCTGGAAGACCAAATAGATTCCTGACAAAACACAAAAGCATTTAAAAAATACTGTGATTTTACTTCTCTCACTCAAACCCTCCAAATGTCTTCAAACATATCATTTCTGTAGACTGTAGAAGTTGTATAAGAACTAACACTATATTTCAATAAAAAATACAAAGGACAAACTACACTTGATGTTCAGAGCAGCCAAATTTCTGCCTTCACTTCATCTTAATCTGTTGATTCATCAAACAGCATTGAATGCAGGAGATGAGGCTGGACAGTCAGTAGGCTCCATACACGTGTGTGTGTGTGTGTGTGTTGTTGTGTGTGTAGCTGTGTGTGTGTGTGTGTGTGTGTGTGTGCGCAACGTTACTGTTTTTGTGAGGGTGTGGCACACGGCCGGACTCTTCTGGCGAGCAAGTGCCTGCGGGATGTCACTCTGTGAGTGCACGTGTCTGAGTGCATGTGCACTTATGAGTGCGTGTGTGTGTTTGTGTGTGTGTGTGTGTGTAGTGTATCGCCAGTTCAATTTATGCTGGATCCTCTCCTCTCTTTTTTTAATCTCTCCGCTGCTCTGATGCTACAGACTGTGTCCACACGAGGGCAACATCTCACCACAGACCCGACTCGCATGTGGCGTTTACATGCTTCTTTTTATTGTGTTGGTTAATGTCATTGATCCTGTATTTATCATTTATTAATGTTATTTCAACATCTTGACCTTTTCACTTGTTGTTAGCCCCTCACTCCGACACACAACACAGTGTGTACTTAAAGCAATAAAGTGAGTAACAATATAAAGCTATTACTGATCATAGTGTCTGTCTCCATACATCTGCATATTCACATACATATTTATACTTTCAAATGCCCACATTTATAAACACAATACAGAACTCATAATTAAGAGAAACACAAAGTAACAGAAATGATAATCATAGTACGAACAAAAACCTTTGATATTTCATTATATAGAGGTAGACCTGCTACTGCTACAGGTTTCTATTACAATTTCACATTGATTACTTAAATCATCTTCTCTAAACATGATCTATCCGATGTTTCATTAACAATTATATAAGTGTAATTCATCACTTACCTTTGCTTTATTTAATTTAAAGGCCCATCTATTTTCCAGCACTTTTTCTTTCTTACTGATTTTATAAGTCACTTTTCCATACTGTAAATGTCTTCTACTGTTTCGAGCCACGCCATTTGCATGTTTCTGATCTAGGGCTGAACAATATGCACAACAAATCATATTTTGGCAAATGTTGTGATTGTAATATTAGTCACGATTTCAGTTGGAGCCGTATTTATACATTTAATTTCACTGAAGAAAATTATACAAAATATGAGATGTTAATTACCAAACCATCCATTTTCTTTAGTCCACTTATTTTATGTCTGTTGTGACAAATTTGACCTTCAATTAAAAAAAAAATGAAAAAAAAATGCAGCTCCTGCGACATGGATGTTGCAAAATATTTGGATTCAATATTCTGAACAGTAATGAACACGAAGGGTAAGATCATGAGCACATCCAGAGAGAATGAACAGCTAAGAAAGACAGAGGAGCTGACGCCTGAGGAAACATTCTTGCCCTTCAAAA